GGGAGGGGGAGGGGGGTGAAAGGTGAGGCAGTAATTGGGAGGAAACGAGATGCGGGCGGAGAATCGCTTTCAATCAAACTTTATTCATGTTGACGAACGTGTGAGAACAGGAACCTGCAGAGACCGGATCAGCTGGTCCACAAACAGACAGACATCACGTCAACGTGGACGCTTCCTGTCTGCTGACCAATCACGTCACTGATCATCCCACAGACAGACAACGGTTGCTGTGTTGCTCAACTCTGATCATGCAGATTCTTTAGAACAACCAATCAGGTCACTGCACCTCCACCAAACACCAGCAACTCCTACAGGCAACTGTGACCAGCAACTGAGACAGCAACAGAGCAACCAGCAAACTTAGACTGAGCTCTGACCAGTAGTTGTGACAGAGACGATCAACCAGCAACTCTAACATCAGGCAAACCGTCCAGCAACTTCTTTGGGCAACTTTGACCAGAAACTGTGACACAAAAAGAGCAACTAGCAACACCAAAAGCAAAGTATAATATAACAGCAACTCCGCTGGGCAACGTTGCCCGTCCCGTTAATGTCGGTGATGCTGTCAAGGAGCGATGACATCATTGGTTGCTATGTGGCAGCTGTGTGTGAGGTCACTGGTTGCTACGGTAACCAGCTGGACGCCCTGACTCAGCAGAGATTAGAGTTGCACCAACCTGTTGAGGCAACCTGCTGCTGTGATGAGGAGAAACAACCTTCTTCATCAGGAGGATGTTTCCTGGAGGAACACAGATGTATTGATCACTTATTGGTTTCATGTACAATCACAGATACATCGACTGGACCGGACCGAACTGGACCGGGCTGAACTGGACTGGACAGAGCTGGACCGCACTGGACAGAACTGGACTGGACTGAACTGGACCAGACCCACCGATCACTGGTTACTGCTGACATCACTGCTGACATCACTGCTGACATCACTGCTGACATCACCACTCATTTGATTGACAGCTGTGTGTTCTGAACCACCAGGAGGAAGCGAGAAAACCTGACCAACATTCAGGAATAAAACGCTGATCTGAGTCCTGAGCTGCTCCCTCTGCAATCAACCCTTGACAGTCACAGTAACCGTGGAAACAGGCGTGTTCTCGCACTCTGGGCGGATCTGGTCCTTGATTGGCTCCTCATCCGCCATCTGCCTTCAAGGCCAGCTGTGAGGTCAAGCAATGAATCACTTCCTGGTTCCTGCCGGAGCACATAATGAGTTAATGAGCTGCAGGAGGCGGCAGATAATCCATCACGGAGGAAACCGATCAATGATCAATAGACTGAGCTGCTCACACTCATCTGTCCTCGTCAATACAGCAGCTCAGAGGCGACGTTGCAGCCTGCAGAGACCCAGCAGCAGGTCCAGAGTGGACCGCTGCTCCAACAGCGCACTGATGTTTACATTACATTA